GGATGAGGGACGACTTTCTCCAAACTGTCCAAAAAGGCTGAGGCACTTCAGCCTCGTTTTCAGACAAATCTGTTAAGGAAGATGGCTATTTTCAGCATGTTTTACAGGACATCACCAGAGAGAGGTTACCAGCACAAATGCTATTCAGGACTATTTCTTCTCAGCATCTTCCCCCGTACCGACAAGACCATCGGTGCTGCAGCCTAATTCCAGCTAAAAAACTGAAAGCCGGCCACTTCTGAAATATTACCTAGGAAGCAGTCACCTCAAACACCCTCCCTGCTGCTGTTTTATTTCTTTTTTATTATTAACTCAGCAAATAAAAAAGTCATGGTAGTAACGACAATGTTTTATTGCCCTGTGAAGAACTATGTAAAACTGCGAAAATATGTAAATAAGACTTTCCAGAGTAAGACATGAATTTAGTGCTTGCTTAAGTGGTATGAGTGCCTGGCATGGGGTTATTTTCAGAAAATAAAATCTCTGTAATATCTGAGGTAGTTACAGCTAAATGCTGGCTGGCTCTGCCATTCCCAGGCCCAGTAGTCCCTCGCATCCCGGGCTGTGTCAGACATCTCATGCTCATGAGAAAGAGCAGATGGCAGCATCGCTCAGCAACTGGACACAAGCAACAGCCCCTTTACAGTGCCCACGGGTGCACACAGCCACCCACCGCTGCTGCTCAGGAGTGTCCGAAGCAGCAGGCAGGAGGCCCGGAGGCCCCGCTGTTGGCTGCATCGCTTTGGATGCGGAAGAATTTTCTCTTTTGCAGACAAGCTCAGTCAGAGCCCTAACAGGCTGGTGGTTGTTTGCAGAGAAAAACCGAACAGAACACAGATCAGCTTCATTCCTTTGAGTGAAACATGAGGGAAAAATCATCCTTTACACTTCAGAGCCTTCATGCTTAGTGAAAACAAGAAATGAAATGAGTTCATGAAAGACTAATTGCCCGGTTTGTTTTATGCATGAGCCCCAGTATTCCTAGCACATGCAGTTACGGCTTGTTTTCAAAGAGACCAATTATTTCATTAAAACATCTTCACACTTCCAGATTTGCTATAACAAGTCTTCTCCTCGTCATCCTTCTGGCCTAGTATTTTGCTATTTTTTGGTTTAAGACCAAAGAAAAGAGAGCCAAATAATAAAAAAAAAAAAAAAAAAAAAAAAAAAAAAACTATAATTTACTAACAGCTATTAAAACCTGGGATTTAGGATCCATCCTTTCTTCTCCATAAAGTAAAGGAATACTGCAGGACTTTAAACACCTTGGTGCAAAACCCATGGCAGCTCAGGCAGCCAGGAAGGACCTGTGTGGCAGGATGCTCTTGCAGGTACAAGGACACCAAATGAGGGTTTGAAATGAGCCTGTGCCTGGGAACTTGAAGGGCAAGATCAGGAAGCAATAGGGATGAAAGCTCCTTGAATTGTCTAATATTGCCTCTAATATTTCACTATCTGGAAGATACCCAAGGAGGCTAGATAAGACATCTAGTTTATACACAGCAGAAATTTAAAGCTTGGTGATGGGGTGGGTAAAAGGTGAAAGAGGGGAAGGGAAAATAGCTAAAGAACCTTCAAAAGTAGTCAAAAGGATGCCCACAGAGGAGATTTCTTTCAGACGAGCAACATAAACAAAGCATAATTCAGTAAAATGTTATCATCAGAAAACAGAGTTCACAGTAAGCATCTGACTCTGCAGCATAGATCTGTTGCAAATAAAGATGTTTGAGCAATCACAATCCCTCTGACGAAGCAAAAAGCAGAAACCTCCATGCCTGCCTGCGCGGAGCGGAGTGCTGCAGTCTTGGCACTCGGTGGAGAGATGCTATCAGGGGTTGCCACAGAAACCGGAGGATGCAGACCCAGCAGCTTTGACTTCGCATAAACCAACAGCAAGTTCGGCTGGGGACGAGACACCGAGAATGCAGGTGGTTTCCTCCAGCTCCCAGGCAGGATTGCAATGGGCTTGTATTTGAAGCTTTCCTACAGTCAAGTCTCCCCCTTCCACCACTTCCACAGCCCATCCTTCATATCCCCCCACCGTGTACAGGCACAACCACACATGCACGCACCCCGTTTTCCTCCTCCTTCCTCCCAGGTTAGACAACACATACAAAGGTCATTTTCCTCGCCATCGCTTCCATCCAGCTTCCTCCTCACTGAGCTGCTGTGTGACAGCTTTTAAATATTTTTGAACTTTCTGGACAGGAGTATTCTCTAGAAGCAGAGTGTGGTGGTTTTTTTTTTTTTTAATTAAGTTCCTGTCATTGCAGAGGGAGCCCTGATATCCCACCTCCCTCTACAAACCTGGAGAGAGCAGGAAACGCTGTATGATTTGTACAGATCTAGAAAGGATCACTTCAGAGTTTACTGTAAATTTTTTTTTCCTGAAAACAGCTAAAAATAAGAGGGAACCTGTCATACAGGAGAGTCCAACACCAGGTGATTTACTGCCACCTTTGGCAATGTTGCTTTTATAACAGGAGCGATACGGGATAATAAGGTGATAACCCCCAACAGGAAAACTGCTGTGGAACACATTGTTGTAGTTTGGAGAAAAGAGATCCCCTTTTGCCCTCAGAACCCTGAAGTGATGTAAATTTCATTTAAAAAGTCCCTTTAGGATAAATTTCTACTGTTCATTTATTTATATGCACCTTAAGGCAGCATTATTTGCCCATAAATATTATGCATGTAAATTCAAATGCAATTTTAAACTCATGTGCAGACTTTCCATAAATTTTTCCCGTTGTTGCACCTCTGAAGCTGAGACCCTAATGTCACAGAGCTGTAACATGGTTTTTCTTCAGTGAAACGGCATCCCAAAACCATGCATTAAGTCCTCTTGAAAATAAAATTAATTCTCGTAAAACCTACAGCAGTTATATCCCATGCAAGGAGCAGAACAAATCAGCACTGAGCATTCATGCTTCATAAGAATAAGTGTGCAGGTAGATCCAAGGAGCACTGCTTTCATTGCAGATTTGTATCACCCACAGAAAAAATTATTCAGATGTGACACAGGCAGATAAGATATGCCTGATGTGCGAAGTGGCCAGTGACACAAGATACTTCGGGAAGGGAGATTTTCAGCCGGTGGCAAGGGATAGCACAAGGCAACGTTAAGTGACAGGCTAGTACTCCAGCTTTGATCTACCCCCCCTTCTCCGTATGGGCAACTTCCATTTTCAAATTTAAACTCGTTTTCTTTCATGTTATTTGCAAAAGTAAGAAAGACCTAAGGCCAGTTTGTTCGACAGGATGGCAGCTGTCACTCCATGTAAACAGACCCCAAAATGAAAGAGCAATCCAGCACATGGAAGTAGAAAGTCCTGACACTTTAATTATCTGAAGAGATTACAAGATGAAAGTCTTCCTTGAGGCAAATGTATATTAGTATTGATATAGTCATTGTGCTTTTCAGTAAGAGAAATAGGAGTCTGTATTTACATAAGAAACTATAGTGTCTGAGATCTTTAAATATCATATTTATGGAAATGATTCTGAATTACAGCATTTACAAAATAAAAACAAGCTTGAATAAATATTCAGTCCATTAAATAAGATTTTTTTTCACAGAAGCAACTTTTTGTGCATATTTATTTCACAATTGAAGTTTGTTGTATTTTTTATCCTATAAAAGAAGCATTAAATTTGTTGGTTTTTTTTTCTAAAAATAAAACTGCAATAATCATTGCAATGTGAAGCCTGAGATTTAAGCCTGAATAAGTATCATTGCTTGCACCACATTACCCACCTCCCACCAATCACCCACACCCATGCCTTTCCAAACTCTGGTGAATGCCGACACTCCAATTCAAGGATTCCACGGGGAGGATTTCAGGGAAATAATAATAATAATAAAATATAAATAAGGTGAGGATAACACATCATAGCTGACATTGTCTACAAACAGCATCATAAGGCTTGTGCATTACACATAAACTAAGTAAAGCTGTTTCATCTGATTCAAAACGACAGTAGTGCCAAACTGTTGTACCCTTATATGGCTCATTAACACTGAATATTAAACCACTTGAAAAAGGGAATGTCCCCCAAAAATAAATTAAAAAAAAAATCAACACTGCCCAGTTTTGCTTTATCATTTTGAATGACGACCTTTCTTGAGCATGATATCGCAAACAACTTCCTCATCCTTTATTTGTATTTATCACTTTGAAACACAGTGCGTAACACTGCGAGTCAGGAAAGGGGATACAGCAAAGAGCTCTTGATCTCGTTTCCTCTGTAACCACAGCACACACTTTCTTGCTTTTCATGTGGCTAACTCAAAGCATGTCCAAACGCCTTTGAAACCTCAGTGCTCAGGGAGCTCTTACTGCAGATAGTTTGTGCACGATCATAGCATGAATCCAGGAGAGTCTTACTTCTTTCCTCTCTAACTGGAGATAAAAATTGATCCCTGGTGTTTCAAATAAATACAAACATCTTCTGAGTTGTTAGCATGAGTGAAGTAACAGTATGCAATATTTTACACAGTTACTCTGCCAAATGTGGACAACAAGTACCCTTCTCTGGTTGACCATTCTGTAGGACCTTTGGAATATATCGTTATGTATTTGCCTTTTAAAAACCATTTAAAAAACTCAGTATGGGAGAAATAATTCATCACATCTACTGAATTTTGCTGCTAAACTTTCAAAAATATGTATTTTAATATTAATTCATCCATTTGGTAACCATTTCCTCTGAAGTTTGTTCAGTTCTAAATGCTGATATAGAAACCAAAGCTCTGTGTTATAATTTTATTAACAGGATTTAGCATAAATGATGCAGATTATAAATACTTCCAAAACTCCAAAATATGGAACTGGAAGTTGTAAAATTTCATTTTTAGAAGACAACTTGGAGTTATTGCTCTGCTCAGTAAATGAAAGGCAACGGAAATATACTGCTTTGGGATCCTCAGTGCTTCCTATGTGATTCACAGAAAATGTTGCCTTTGTAAATATCGAATGTGGATTTGAAATAGTTTTATTTTAATTAATCCTAGCATAGGTAGCGCAAATCTAGTAATGGGAAAGTTAAACCGCAGCAGGAGGGAGAGCACTGACATCCACAGCCATGCTGGTATTCTAGTGAGCACAGAAGCGTCCGAGCTTTGGGATTGATTTGCTGGGATGGACTAGTTAACCGGCTACTCTGTTCCTAGCATGTAAGATAAGCAGCAATGCTCGTTCAATTCTCTGAGCCCTATTTCCTTCCACACAGTGCATTTGTTCTGCATATGGCATCGTAACATTAATGTTATAAATTTATGGAAGACTGTACTGTAGCCTTAGAGCTACAGACACTTCACACTTCCCTTTAGCAGCTTAGTAAAATGCAATAAAAACTGTCTGTACAAAATTTATAATAATGGATGTCAAAGCCTACATGCCCTCACGGGGTCCCTCTTTCAAGTTAGTTCTTGGCTTAGGTCAAATATATCAGTCCGTGTAAGACTCCAGAAGACACACCAGTAGTTTAATATGTCAGATACCAGCTTTGTCACTATAGAAAGGAGTGACATGGAACATGTAACAGTGAGTGCAAACACGGACAGGCTTCATCTGACCATAACGAGGTAATGGAGCAGAGTGGGACGAACAGCGGGAACAGAAGATCTGAAAAACAAGAGGGAGATTTCACTTTAGTTCCTTTGAAGAACTGGATGGGACAAAATTAATTTCAAGAGGGGAGAGAAGGCTGTACACGCTGGGCTCTTGTGAATCGACAGCACCAACCTCCCTCAGCACAGCAAGTGAAAGGCCTCTGCAGGCAATTCATAACCCGATGACCAATTGACCTGACTGTGCTTAACCTCTCTGATGCAGGTGCCCAAGCACTGACATTGGCCAAGGCAGGCCTGTCTGTGTCTGCAGGTCACAGGGGAAGGCAGCTCCACCAGAGATGAAAAGAAACCTCTTTCTCCACTGGCTTTAAAGAAAGACTAGGGGAATATTTGTGACTATCTCCAAAGTTCCTACTCCTGCAAGTCCACTATAAAGATAACAAAACCAGCTTCTCTACCCTCTTCCTTTTTAACTTGTACAGCAGCAAGCAAGTAAAATGGGATTGCAGAAGATTTCTGGCTTCCGGAGGCACACGACTGCTTTATTCTCCCTCGCTCCCTTTTCCTCCCCCACAAACTTGCAAAGCAGCAGCCCTACACACCACAGTTCTCCTGCAAAGAAAGAAAGCAAAGGGACACGCCGTCCCTGCAGCTGAGCTGTGCATCCCCCCTCGCAGTGCAGGCTGCTGTGGCTCGTTAAAGCTCAGAGCAGTAGCCAAGAGCAACTCTCGATTCAGGGTGTTTGTTCCAGGATCTCAACAGGGGGTTCTGCTTTTTAGAAGACAAATGCTTATCGATGTATAAGAGTCACCCCCCCACTTTCTAAACATAAGCTGAGCAGTTGACAGCCAAGACATACAAAAACACTTGTGACTTGAAAACCCTGGCCAAGCACACACATTTTGCTGTGCAGCTGAGTTTCTGTGCTATGCATAAATTTGCTGTTCTCTTTGGCAGATAGTTTCTCACATGTTCAACTGAGTCATTACCTTGCCACAGCTCCGACAGTGGTGTTTCCTGCGAATGACTGTGAAAGGAGCCTTGCACGCAGTGCAGTAGCTGCAGACTTCATCTGGAACCCAGTCAGGAGGATCTGTCAGAAACACAGCAACAAAAGGGAACATAAATCAAAAGGGAAGAAAAACAAACATGCAATTACCAGATCCTCAAGGGAGTAGGGAGAATAAAATATAACAGCACCTGCTTTCATCTGAGTTTCTCAAGGTGCTTTGCAAACAGGCAGCTAGGTGAGTTCAGGATGCCTGAGAGGGCTCAACTCCCCCCTTCTCTGCCAGGTGGCCCACCTTTGGGCAGAGCACAGCAGGCACTGAAACAGCACACGGCAGCTCTGGACTCAAAATGAAATATATCCTATTCAAGTGAAAGTGGCAGGGAAAGGAGATAAGCAAAATAAAGTATGAAGACAAGAGACTATTAAAGCAGAGCTGGAACACAGGTGTTTTTGTCAATGCAACCAGCCATCAAAACAGCCTTAGAGCTGAGATCATTCCCAGCCTCTTCAGCCCTCCCTACAGAAAGGCTGACTGCTTTTCTGCAATGAGGCAAGCAGCTCTACAAATAAACTCGGAGCCTGATTACTGTCTGCTAAGCTATTAGGACTCTTACTGGAAGTCACCAGTAACTACAACAAAACCACAAAATCAAGTGTAGGAGACTTAGCAGAGAAAGAATTTGACCATTATCCCAACAGCATGTTTCAGTTGTTTATTTCTCCTGTGAGCTCTCTAACTTCTCATAAAAGCCAAGCAGGGAAATGATTTGGTTTTGGCAAAGCAGAAGGTATTGGGTTCACTTCTGTTGAGCTACTTCTGCTAGTGACAGACTGACATGACCCTCAGAGAGTCTAAAATTACGAGCGTAGAAATGATGTAGCTGATGGCTTAATTAAGTTATTAATCTAATGAAGGGCAAAGCAAGTTCTATCCAGAAGGAATCCATGGACACAGTGAACATGATCTGCTGAATGTATTTACTCAAGTTCCCTATATGCAGCTTCTTCTATATTATTTACAGTACGCAACCCATGTAATTGCTGATTTATAAATCTGACAAGCAAGATCCCTGCCTCAAGGAGCATATTATCAAACAACAAAATATATGGTGCAGTTAACGCAGAGGTCAAGAGGGCTACAGCTACAGGCGGAAAGAAGATAATTAAATGAAAAATCCACTGTATTTTTCAAACATTCCTGTGACCAGTGTTCATGTGTTTGTCACATTGCAACATTTGTCAAATTAAAAGTAAAAAGGATATAGCATTCAATGCAGAAAATGTTCAAAAAGCAGATTAATAAAAACAGAGAGAACTTAAAATCTTGACTCAGCTTTTATGGGCTCCTTTAAACTATTTTGGAAGTTAAACTAGTTTAAGGAAACAATCGTTCATTTAATGAACAAACTGGTCTGATAAAGGTCACAACTATAGGGACAGCAACCAAAACCAAAGTCCGTGTGCAGAGAAATGACTGATGTGGTGAAAAAGAGGAGATTGCACATAGCAGCCTTCACCTCATCCCTGGGAACACTCTGCCAGAAAATGTTTTGTGTGGACACAAGGCTACAAAATCCCACTTCAAAAGCAGGCTTTCCTATGGCAGCAGGGAGATGCAGGACTGCCAGCTTAAGTCAAAGCATTAATAGCAATGAAACCAAGGGATTTTTCCTTTCCAATTCTTTTCCTTCTCTGCAACCTCCCTAGCTACTACATGTAACTTACCCAGTGAAACTTACTCCTAGCGTGATGTCAATTTTGAAGACTTCGTATCATTTTCACAGGAATCTCTGATCTGAAACCACGGCAAGCCTGCTGAGCTTGGAGCATCTCCATGTTCTCCATCCAGGAGGTCCCTTGGCTTATCACACATATTCCAAACAAAGTAACTGACCCAATAACGATATTCCTGTTTAAAACTTGCCATCAGACTACATAGCCTTGATTATGTTTTCAGGGATTTAACCATCCTGTTGATTCTCACTAATTTTAAAGACAGCAAAATTTAGGAAGTTGTTCAACTCTGTGCCACCAGGTCTCCCTCCCAAACGAACACAGAGCTGGTAGAAGCAGGTTTGGCAAGATGCCTGCTTTGGCACCGATGCTTTATCAACTGCATTATAATGTGGGCTACCATGTTCAGCTAGTTACTAATTTCAATATTCACAGAAAAGCCACAAAACACAGGCCCTTTTTGTACAAACTGCAGCATGCCAACATGAACTACAACTTCCACAGCAGCTAGTACCATAATTACTCCTTCCCTTAGATCATGATTAGTCCAGACACATTATAAGCTAACACAACCCCACCACAAAGACTCTGGAGCTCATCAGTAGAAAGCAGCTTTCTTATCAGGTGTGTACCATGTGGGTTTTGTTTTGTTTTTTTCTGTTGATGCCCCTGAAGTCCAATGTTGAAAAAGTTCTTTTTTAATTGACCTTGTATGGATTTGTCTCCAGTGCCAAATAAAAAAGAAAAATTGCAAAAACCCCCATGAGAAACAGCAAATTTATTTTGATAAATAAAGACCTTATAAACTCTTAATAGTCATATAATATATAATCCATAGTTCATGGTTACAGAATTACTTGACTGCCAGATGAATTCATCTCCAAACTTTGTTTTCATAATTGCATAAAAAAAAAATTGCATCTTAGTGGTACTCAATGTATAGAAACAGTATAACCCTCTCTACAGAATGTTCTCCCACATTAGAGGAACTCTCTTTACCTCCATGTTGGTGTCACGTCAGCTGATTCATTAAATTAATGCATCAGTAGAGTGAGCTAAAGGGCACATTTTCCCCCAGACTGTGACTCAACAACAGTAAGGCCCTTCAGGAGGGCTGTGCGGCCAGCCCCGTGCCCCGTTGCTTCTGGGTTGTAGTGCCCTCCCCTAACATCCCAATTGCTCGCACCGAGCTCAGCTGCGCTGCAGCACATCCCCAAATAGTAACACTTAGTTATATAACGGCTTTTAACATTCAAAATGCTGTACAAACATTAATTGCTTTAATCGTCATCACCCAGCTACAGTCAGTAAGTCTGTGTGGGGAGAAATCAGGAGAGAAATGTCTTGCCCGAAATCATACAATGGTGCACAGTCCTGGAACAGCACTCGAAATAAGAAACCTTGGGCCATTAGCCCTATGCCTTTGCTTCCAGTTGTGACTGAAAAAGTCCTTACACTGAGTACAAACACAGGGGCTTCATTTTGAGAGTATGCACTTGCTGAGAAATTAAACGCAATCCTGGATCGGAGCCGAAGTGCTCACACTGTCAGGAAGGATGAAGCCCTGAACGACTCGGTCTCTCTGAGCCCACGCAAGCCCCAGTGGCAATGGGACCAACGCCCCTAGGTCCCCTTCACATGCCTCATCTCGCTCAACCTTGGGAGCCGCCTTTCTGACTTACATATATTACCGATTGAGTCACCAGGCTTTTTATAGAACAGGTTTTTGAAATATTCTCTGAAGAGCAGTTTCATGAGGGGATAAAGCTTCGATATGAGGAGCAGAGTGAGTTATACAAATTAAACCCCTAGCATTAGCCTGAAGACGTGCTGGAAGCAGGGCAGCAGCACCGCACCCGTAGGCTTCTTATGTTATAGTCCTTCTCCGGGCTGCACTGCTCCATTAGCTCTGCATGCAGCAGCAAAGGGAAACATCCAGTCTCTGAAGCACTATCTGCCTGTGCTTCGGGGATTTATACAAGGAATAGAGGGAAAACCTCATTTGTGGGCTAACTAGCCCACTGCTTTATCGTGCAATGAGAGTTAAGGGAAGTCTGTTGGGAAACAGATGAAGACCACAGCACAAACATCAAAGAGGAGGAAGAAGGGAGGGAAGGGATTAACGAGACAGAAAGACTACAGAAATAACTTCTAGAAGAAAACATTAAAAGCATGTACAGAAAAAAAGGCAGAGAAAGGAAGAGAAACAAGTATTTAAATAAGAAACAAATTTAGAGAAAGGAAAAGGCACAAGATAAAATTAAATAGCAGACTGAAAGACATTTAAAAAGGAGAAGAAGTATTCCCAATTCTTAACTATTCAAAAATCTTGCATTACAATCTCCCATAAATCATGAAATTGTAGTCTTTTTATTCCTTCTATGCTGTAGCTTTTAGAATTCACCTTTGCATGTCTCTGCAGCTTTGTTAGCCAAAACGGTTTTCTGTTCTATGAAAGTTAAAAATCTTACATAAATCCGAGATGCTGGAGCTTTAAGAAAACCACAGCCATGATAAAAATCATAGGCGTTGTAAACACTGTCAAAAAGCACATGAAATTCATTTTGCTTAAGTATGTGCAATAGATCTACTGCAGTCTGATCTAATCTTACAAAACCAAGGAGAACATCTCTGTGTCCCAGAACACAAGGAGAAGAGAGCCTGGACCCGGATCCATCAACAGTGTTGATTCAAACAAGATTAGACCAGAAAGTTCATTCAGTGGTGCTGAGACACAAGAGACTGGGTCGGGGGGTGGGGGAGGGAAATAATCCCAAAAGTTGTAGGAGCTTACAGAAGGCCTAATTTAGCAAATCTATACTCTGGCAGAAAACAAATCAGAAAACGTGCACATCACGACTCCCTGTTGAACAGCAGCTACTAAACCCTAAGCTTGTGGTGGTGGTTGCATTATGGCCAGACAATTCAGAGCAAGGACCCTTTCTGCGTCTTTTGTTTTTCTCAAATATTCCTAATGCAGAACTCAAACTGGAAGTTCCTCCTGCATCGATGTGTATTAGATTTTAGAGCACATCATGCATAACCCTGACTATACTTTTACCAAACTAACCTTAAGAGGGCTGTTCCTACAGCAGCCTGTGGAACTTACACCACTGCAGCCGTCAAAGCGCATTACCCTCACAGCTGAAAAAAAGGTCAGATGGGCTTGCTGTAGCTCTTCTGATGAAAGTAAGAATTGTAAATTCTCACAGTTTTAAGTACGGAAAGTAGAGAACTAAGGTGACATGAGTTCACCCCTCACTTCAACTGCCACAGTAAGATAAACTTTTTTGTCCCTTATCACACATAATTTTCCACATCATTCTGGGCCATCTCTGACTTTTATC